CAATATGTTACGTCATGCAATATAGTGCAGTGGTTTTCATTAAACTGTAAAACAGATTGAAATAGTCAAATCTCAAGAAAATAGTACACAATATAGAGTAATAAAATGTATTTCATGGATTAATTAAATCCACTATACTGTTTCTTTCGCCATTTTAGTGTTTTCACCCTAGTTACGATAACTAATTGAATTTAATTATTAAAAACTCAACTCTAATTTTGTCAAAAAATAAAAATAGATAGATGAATAAAGGAAACTGCGGTCAATAATTTTACATCACGCGCAAACTACATGTATATAATAGGGACAGACTCACCAACCACATTATCTCGACTGTCGTGGTTTTAGTAAGGACAATCCGGACGGCAATCAGGACATATAAAAATAATTGGTGTAGAACAAACTATTGCTTATGTTCYCTCGTGCCAAACAATATTTACTTTTATTCGTCGTTGCAGAATTATTTGAGTTTGTGTAAACTTGATATAAATATCGATGCTAAATTCACTCATKGGAACRATGTAAAAAGAATCGGGGAAAAAAGAAATTAGTTCGTATATAGCATGTATAAGGGTCAACTTGTTAGGGACCTAGGGATCTAGGCACAGATAACAATGCTTGGATATTATCTTTAATATRGCCGTCCTTAGCTTTCTCTTAAAATATCTACTTAATAATTTAATGGGACAAGAAGGGCTCAGGGTTCTAGCTATCAAAACGCTTGTACCCTCACGATAAATATCTGTTTTGCTGTGCCTAKCCRCTATAGTTTTACCTTCGTATCTGTCGTGTYGCAGGTTTTAGTCTCCCTCGGACCACAGGAAGCCATATCTATTAGTTCCAGTCTCTCTCGAATTGAGAACTTTTCTCAGAAATCCAAGATGGCGGACACTTCGCCGATAACAGAGAAAAAGTACTCAAAAACTAAAAACAAACTCAAACACAAAAAGTGCTTACAAAAAGGAAATAACAAAAAATTTTCTCATTGAAGAATTGGACTAGTATTTTGTATTTGTGAAGTTTCAAGCATGCTAATTACCATTTTAAGACGATTTTGCATCGAAAATAGTCTTGCCTTCCTCATCCGTCCAGCTCGATGAAATTCAGTACAGTTTCAACGTGAAATCAGCTCAAATTCTGGCTTTTTTCCACATTAGCCAGAAAAAGGTATTTTTCTGTTTAAATGACAATGTTTTTATTGATAAAATTCAAATAAAGTGGAGTAAATCATCGATTTTTTTATTATTATTCGAAATTACAAAGTACAAGTTTTGAAATTGAACTTTGTTTTGCTTCAATTTTTGGAGCCCAATTTTTGTGGCTAGTGCCTCGTAAATGAGTAAGTGGGTTGGTGGTGCCTGCGTAACTCGGTTAGTCTTCGGTCCAATTCGTTCCATACCGATTTCGGACCGACCTTGTTTAGGTATCTTTCGTGAACATTGGGTTTCCTGTGTTATGACGGTATACCACCCCGCCCCTCCTGAGTAGTCTGTTGCATACATTAAACGCTTACGGTAACTCGCACTTCCGGTAATACTTCTCATAAGGTTAGCGATTAGTCTCCAGAAAAGAATAGTTGCGGTGCACGATAATAATTGAACTGCAAAGAAAACTAAGGTATTCTACGCCATAATTTACTTTCATATATAGTTATGTCATAGTCACAATATTCATTGCAGATACAAATTTTATCTTGTTGTATTGAAAGTCTTTTGCTCTTGGTGTGTATTCGCGCACCATGTAATATCCACTTCTTTTTCAATTTTCCAAAAAAGCTAGCCCGCATCACGCTTTACAAGCGTCCGATGAAAACCCTAGCGAAGCTTGGCTCGATGTGTATACCGCAACGCTTAAGGTTTGCGGCCTCRTCAAACCTTAGAAAGGCCGTACAGCATAGCACACTTAAGGTCAAAACTTTTAGATCTGATAAACTAGCTGTTTCGTGGCCGTACTTAGTGAAAAAGGATATCATTATTTCGGGGGTGACGGTCTCTTTCTTTTGAATGGGTTTACTAATAATTCGTTTGGCAGCCAATTTGAAAATTCTTTCTCCAGAAGGGAAAATTAAATATTCAATGACAAAGGCTTTTAACGTGCCTGCGCTTTCAAATAATAATGGCCAGAAATCACTAGAGGGCCAGTAAGGAACAATTAGAGTGCCTGACGCTTTGCTAGCTATCACGTGCCGAATAACCTGAGTCAAACAATGAAATGGGTGGAACTAGCCAATTATTCCTCATTCTCCTAAGTAACAGAGAAAGCATCCACGCGTTCCGTACCTGGTACGACAAAACGAGAGTTGAAACGGGCCAAATGGGTATTAAATTAATCTGCGAACCTATCAATAGTATAAGTGCCCCATAAACTATTCATATACGCGAAAAAGTTTCTAGTTGTGGTCCAGTCATCGAAATCGTGTACTGATAGGCCGTAATCTGTGATCGATTATCGTTCAAAAAAACTGAAATCACGGATGGAAAAAAAAAACTTCACAGATCTAAAGTTTTTTACTTACTGAATGGATTTCTGCTTGTTGGCGCTCTCTAGATGCTGCTGTTTTTGAGTAATCGACGTGGAAATTTTGAAAATCGCCGTCACGTTTGTTTTGGCCGCCGTCTTGTTTTGAGCATGCGTAGTTGTCATTTTCGGGTAGGTACTTGGTGCACTTTGCATTTAGTGTATCGATGCMCAGAGTTGGGATCCCTGTGTTTCGTTTTATTTCTATTAAAGTTGTTCGTTTTTTTGCTGTATTTACCGCATATTGCTATTAAAGGTATTTTCTAAATTATTAGTATATCTTACCTTTTTCAGATGAAGATAATGGTGTCAAGATTTATTGTATAAAATTATGTTCTGAAGATGGAAAAACTTGAAGAAAATTAGACAGTACTTTTTAACGCGGGAATACGTCTTTAACAGGGAAGGCAGCCTTAAACACGGGAAGTACTCTTTAACACGGGAAGCAGTCTTTGACGCGGGTATCGCTCTTCAACACGGGAAGCAGTCTTTGACG